TTGTTTTATGTCTTCTTTTCCTGTCTTTAAACCTTTAATTTCTTTCTCTTGTTTTATTCTTATTACTAGCAACCCAGAACTGTATCAGATATGGAAAGAGTGAGCTTCCTTGCTTTACTTCCATTTTTATTGAGAAAAGGTTCTAGTGTATCCTTGTTGCATTGCTTTTTATGATAGTTTTTAGAAGATTCCTTTAGCCTATGCTTTGACAGGTTTTTAAGCATAAATGAGTGTTGTACATTGTCAAAGGCTTTTTCCACCTCTATTTATATAATCAATATAATCATTTAATTTTAGAGGTTTTTGTTTTTAATATGGTTATGTCAATTATTTTCCTAATGTTGAACTATCCTTGTATCCCTCAAATAAATCCAACTTGGCCATAATGAATTATTTCTTGGATACATCTGTATCCAAGTCTGTTTGACAGGATTTTTATTTAAAAATTTCAAATTGATATTCTTAAATCATATTGGTCTATGGTTTTTCTGTGATTTATCCTTCCCTGGCTTAGGTATTAGGATTATATTGATCTCATAAAAAGAATCTGGTATGGTGCTTTCTCAGTTTTTTAGGATAGTTTATGAAATATGGGGTAGCAATGATTTCTTACCTGCAAGAATCAATACCTTTTTCTTAGCCTTTGTCCTTCTTGAAGCTTTTGACACCATCAGCTACCCATTTTCTTCTCTTTTCTCCTTTAGCTTTTAATAAATTTGTACTCTTCTAATTCTCCTATTTAGTCAAAAACATTCTCATTCTCTCTTACTGGATCATCATTAATTGCTTACCTGTAAGAGTATGTTTTCCGCAAGACTCTGTCCTGCAGCCTTTTTTCTTCCCTCTCTGCATTCTCACTCTTGTGATTCATCAGCTTATCAGCTGAGTTCAATTATCATCTTTGTCTAGGTGATTTCAAGGTCTCTATATCCAGCCTTAATTTGTCTTCTGAACTCCAGTCCTGTGTCACCAGCTATTTTTTGGACTTTACCTGATTATTTATCAGCCGTCTCAAACACAATATGTCCGAAACAGAATTCATTATCTTCCCTCCTGAGCCACCCCTTCCCTACATCCAGTGAGTTTCCAAGTCTTATCAGTTCTAATTTCACAACATCTCTTACATCCATCCTTTTCACTCCACTCAAATGACCACTTCCCTAGTTCAGGCCCTCATTTCCCCTCACATGGACTATTGGAGTAGCCTCTAATTGGTCTCCCTGTTTCCAGTCTCTCCCTATCCATCCTCTGTATAGAATAAGTTTCTTGAGAATAAATTTCCTAAGTCTCTCCATTCACTCCCCTCCTGAAAAATCTTTGGTGACTGTCTTTCCCTCACGAAGTTAAATACAAGCTCCTCCAGCTTGTCATTTGAAGCGCTCTAGTTTAGAATCTGACTTTAACTTATCTTTCTAGATTCATTGTATGTGTGTATGTACACATATATGTATATATATGTATGTATATATGTGTATCTCACACTCCTTTTCACTCTGATGTTACCAGTCCTCCTAAAAACATTTTTTCCTCTAGTATTAAACAACCATAGTGAAAGATTCTAGGTGTGACAAAAATATATATTGCCCAGATTAACAGAAGAGGAAGTAAAATACTTAAATAACCCCATCTCAGAAAAAGAAATTGAACAAGCCGTTGATGAACTCTCTAAGAAAAAATCTCCAGGGCCATATGGATTTACATGCGAATTCTATCAAACATTTAAAGAACAATTAATTCCAATACTATACAGACCATTTAGGAAAAGACATGAAGAAGGAGTCTTACCAAATTCTTTTTATGATACAAATATGGTGCTGATACCTAAACCAGGAAGAGTCAAAACAGAGAAAGAAAATTGTAGACCAATTTCTCTAATGAATGTAGATGCAAAAATTTTAAACAAAATAGATTACAGCAACTTATCACGAGAATAATACACTATGACCAGGTAGGATTTATACCAGGAATGCAGGGCTGGTTCAATATTAGGAAAACTATCAGTGTAATTCAGCATATCAACACCAAAACCGACAGAAACCACATGATCATCTCAATAGATGCAGAAAAAGCTTTTGAAAATACAACACCCATTCCTATTAAAAACACTAGAAAGCATAGGTATAAATGGAGTCTTCCTTAAAATAATAAATAGCATCTATCTAAAACCTTCAGCAAGCATTATAAATGGGGACAGCTAGAAGCATTTCCAATAAGATCAGGGGTGAAACAAGGATGTCCATTATCACCACTGTTATTCAATATTGTACTGGAAACTTAGCTTTAGCAATAAGAGAAGAAAAAGAAATTGAAGGTATTAGAATAGGCAAAGAAGAAACAAAGCTATCACTCTTTGCAGATGACATGATGATATACTTAGAGAATCCTAGAGAATCAAGTAAAAAACTACTTGAAATAATAAACAACTTTAGCAAAGTTGCAGGCTATAAAATAAACCCACATAAATCATCAGCATTTTATATATTACCAACAAAGCCCAACAGCAAGAGATAGAAAGAGAAATCCATTTAAACTTACTGTAGACATTATAAAATATTTAGGAGTCTACCTCCGAAACAAACCCAGGAACTCTATGAACACAATTACAAAACACTTTTCACACAAATAAAATCAGATCTAAATAATTGGAAAAACATCAGTTGCTCATGGGTAGGCCGAGCTAATATAATAAAAATGACAATCCTACCTAAGCTAATTTACTTATTCAGTGCCATACCAATCAAACTACCAAAAAATTATTTTATAGAGTTAGAAAAAATAATAACAAGATTCATTTGGAAAACAAAAGGTCCAGAATATCAAAGGAACTAATGAAAAGAAATGCAGGGGAAGGTGGCCTAGCAATTCCAGATCTTAAATTGTATTATAAAGCAGCAATCATCAAAACTGCTTGGTACTGGCTAAGAAATAGGAAGGTGGATCAGTGGAATAGGTTAAATATGCAAGACACAGTAGTCAATGACTATAGTAATCTATTATTTGATAAACCCAAAGACCCCAGCTTCTGGGATAAGAACCCACTCTTTGAAAAAAACTGCTGGAAAACTGGAAAAGAGTATGGCAGAAACTAGGCATAGACCCAAATCTCACACCATATACCAAAATAAAGTCAAAATGGGTTCATGACTTAGATATAAAGGCTGATACTATAAGTAAACTGGGAGAACAAGGAATAGTTTACCTATCAGATCTATGGAGAACAGAAGAATTCATGACCAAACAGGAGATAGAGAACATTATGAAAAGCAAAATGGATAATTTTGATTACATTAAATTGAAAAGTTTTTGCACAAACAAAGCCAATGCTAAGGAAGGAAGGTAGAAAATTGGGAAAGAATTTTTACAACCAGTCTCTCTGATAAAGGCCTCATTTCTAAAATATATAGAGAATTACAACAAATTTATAAGAATACAAGCCATTCCCCAATTGATAAATGGTCAAAGGATATGAACAGACAGTTCTCAGATGAAGAAATTAAAGCCATCTATAGTCATATGAAAAAATGCTCTAAATCATTATTGATTAGAGAAATGCAAATCAAAACAACTCTGAGGTACCACATCACACCTATCAGATTGGCCAACATGACAAAACAGGAAAATGATAAATGTTGGAGAAGATGTGGGAAAATTGGAACACCAATACATTGTTGGTGGAGTTGTGAAATGATTCAGCTATTTTGGAGAGCAATTTGGAACTATGCCCAAAGGGCTATAAAAATGTGCATACCCTTTGACCTAGCAATAGCACTTCTAGGGCTATATCCCAAAGAGATCATACAAATGGGAAAAGGACGCACATGTACAAAAATATTCATAGCAGCTCTTTTTGTGGTGGCAAAAAATTGGAAATTGAGAGGATGCCCATCAATTGGGGAAGGGCTGAGCAAGTTGTGGTATGTGAATGTAGTGGAATACTATTGTGCTATAAGAAATGATGAACAGGCTGACTTCAGAAAAACCTGGAAAGACTTGTGTGGTCTGATGCTGAGTGAAGTGAGCAGAACCAAGAGAACTTTATACACAATAACAGCCATGTTGTGTGATGACTAATATTGATAAACTTAACCCTTCCCAGCAATACAAGGATCTAAGACATCTCCAAAGGCCTCATGATGGAAAATGTTATCCACATCCAAAGAAAGAGCTGTGAAAGTTGAATTGCTATTTTTTTTCTCTTCTGTTGAGTTTTGTTTCCTCTTTCTGATGGTTCCTCCTATTGGTTTTAATTTTAACTTACAATACCACTAATGTGAAAATATGTTTAATAGGAATATAATAGCTTATATCAGATTGTGCGCTGTCTTGGGGAGGGTCGTGGGGAGGAAGGAGGGGAAAGATTTTAAACTCAAAAGCATATGGAAGTGAGTATTAATTAATAAAATTTTAAAAAAAGGATCCTAGGTGTAGAAGCAGCCAGTGGTGAGCAGCTCTGAGAGTTTTCCATCTTCTCATTTTCTCTGTATATTCTTCTCTCCTCTTCCCTTGATCCTGCCCAAGCACCTGCCTGTTGGTTGAAGTATAGTATTAGTCTTCTCTTGAACAATATTTGGAGTTCACTTGTTTGTCAGTCAGCAACTATTTATTAATAGCAGCCACAGTGTAGTGGGTAATAAGCTAGAACACCAAGGATACCAAGACAAAATTGAAATAGTCCCTGGCCTCAAGGAGCTTACGTTTCTGGTGGGGAAACAATATGTAGATATATAAGTATTCAAAATACATGCGAAGTAATTTGGAAGGAGGCACTAATGTCTGAAGCAAAAGCCTCATGTAGGAGATATTATTCGACCTGAGCTTTGAAGGAAGCTAGGGATTTTAAGAATGTGTAGTTGGCTCTGACTCTTCACCCTTCCCTTTTTCTACACTTCCCTCTCCCCTCCCCTCCCTCTCCTCCTCTTCCCTTTCCCTTACCCTTCCTCCTCACCTCTTCCCCCATCCCCATCCTTCCCTCCATCCTTTCTCCTTTCTCCCATTCCCAGCCTAGACGATGCCATGGTAGAGACGGCCAAGGAGGCCATGGATCCCGCCAAGGCAGACATCATGGGGCTGTGCCAGGACATGTTCTCTAAAATGGCCACACACATGACAGGCAAGCTGACAGCCACCAGTGAAGACTGTAAAGTTCTAGAAAATGTGAACCAACTGACTAGCTTGAAGTATCTAGAAATGAAAGACATTGCAGTAAACATAAGTAGAAACCTAAAGGACTTAAACCAGAAATCTGCAGCACTTCAGCCTTCTCTGGATCAGGTCACTTTAATTGAGGAGCAAGTAGCAGCTCTTGAGCAAGCAGCCTACACGTTGGATGAATATTCAAAGAAACTGGAAGCAAAATACAAGATGTTAGAGAGGTGCTGAAAGAATTCTTTAGCACCGACTTTAACTACAAAAATGTTTCGTAAGAGCTGAAATAAGTGGGATAGAACTTATCACTGTGCTTCAATTCCTAAAAGAAAGCAGTGCTGCTCATCCAAGGAGAATCCCAGCCCCTGCCTCCGGTTGAACGTGTAACTCTGGCTACTCCTTGATGTTTCCTAAAACCTGTAGCCCCTGGAACCTCATCTTATCAGGTGCTTCATTGTGTGCCATGGACCAAGGCCCAGAAAGCAGGCTCAACCTCGTCTAGAGCAGACGCAGAGGAGAGTCTCTAGTCTCCCTGTCTCCTCACATCTTTCCTTTCCCCTAGGGCTCTACCTTGGACTCTCTGTTCTGAATATGCTTTCCACCCCCTTCATAACCTGTTCTTCAACTTAAATAATAAATGCCGACTTATGACCCTCAAAAAAAAAGAATATGTAGTTGGTTCTAGTCTCATTATCCTAATTCTTCCTGCCCCAGAATTATCATTTCTGCTTCATGATGGAAGTCCAAACAGAGTAGTTCTTTTAGCATAACTTGCCTAAATCAGTGACTTATATCATTAGATCTGAAGGTAAAGAGGAAAGTTGCTACTTTTTTTTCCTGTCTCTCTACGTGTTCATGCCCATACCAGCTTTTGCTAGTCTCTGGCTTCAAGTGTACAACAAGCAAAGAAGTATTGTCTGCATCTCTTCCCTTCCCTCTCCCTAGAGCCTAGATGCCTGGGTATGAAGGAAAGCAGCAGGTGATGGGAATACATAAAGGATGTGGGAAGGGGGGGGTGGGGAAGCTTTTCACTTATACTCTGGATGTTGCTCAACAGAATGGGTGTGAAATTTAGTCAGAGCCACAGCATGTGTTATAATTTTTCAAGGACTCTTCCCCTGCTCAAAGTGTGCTTAACCCCTTCTTTCATATGCCTTCCCTCTCCTATAACTGTCATAGAATTTCCCATAACTGCCTGAGCAGTCTGAAATGAGTTGTGAGATGGATATTGGCATTTCCCTGATCCCACTTTGGGAGCTAAGAGCTCTTTGTTTCATTTCTAGCCTGCTGTAGAGACTGCTAATATTTTTCCCCTTAAGCTTCTCCGGAGTTATAACATGGTTAGACATTCACTTCTCAAATTTGCTGAGGTTTTCTTCCTCTGAAACTAACAGTACCTGTATATCTAGGAGGGATAGTATAGGATTTAGTGCTAATATGAATAGACCATTTGTGAGTTCTTTATTAACTTCCATGGGTATTGGTGGGGGAAGAGGGAGGAGTTTCAATGGTTGCTTTCCCTCATATATGTCAGGGAACTAGTTGAACTCATGGGCACAATTAGCCTCATGTTATGTCAGTTATAAATGGTTCTCTTTAATTGATGCTCTGGACTTAATACCCACCAAGGTGAAAATAGCAAAAGACTACCAGCCACTGACTGACTTTCCTTTGGGGAGTTACAAGGACCCACTATTACTATATATTAAGTGTGCTAAAAAAGGACCCTTCCCTCCTTGAGAATTGTCCCATGGGCAAAAGCCAACCTAAGATAATAAGTAGCTTGGCTTGATACTTTAACTGCCCTGGGAATGGAATAGTCTGCCAACCTTGCCTGCCAGTAGGATGAATTAGGAAATTAAGCTTCCATGGAATGCAGGCCATGTTGGCTCCCATAGATGGAGTCATGAAGTCTTCTCCCTTAGCCCACTCCATTTTGATCCTCTGTGGGCCTAGGTTCTTCAGCCTGAAACTTTGGCAAGGAAGGAAATCCACATCACCAGGTTCTCTGCTGTCAGACTGTAGTGGCCTATGTTACATACTTGAAAAGCTGGAGCAGGTGGTGGAAATCCTACTCCATCCTCCTTTCTTTGTGCCAACACTCTTGAGAGGCTTGGCCAGCAGGATTTGGGGTTAGTTTAATGGATGGTGGATTCAGGACGTTTTCAAGACAGAGTCCTTGCTTGCCCCATTGTAATATGTACATAGGGTAATGTGTTGCCTTTGGAACAAAGAAATGGATTGTTTATTAGGCATAGTTTGTTAGGGTGTAATTGGCTGAATTTGGTAGCCCTGAACCTTCTTGAACAAGGTATAATTAGGCTATATAGACTAACAGCTTCCCCTCCTTCCACCCTATTTTAACCCTTAAAGTTTTGGGCAGGTGCATCCAGTTGTCCCCCTTTGCCTGGTGAATGAAGAGTGGCTTAGTGGCTTTGGTTAACCAGGATTTTCAATCCTATGTGGTGAATGATATGAGGATAAAAGTGACCCCTGCTTCCTCGTGCTTCCATTGTCTGCATCTCTTGCCAGTCAATCTCTGTTTTTTAAGAGTTTAAATTAAAAGACTGAATTATAAGTCTTTAGTTCTGTAAAGCCAAATGGCCAAAAAGTCCAAGTCATTGACCTCTCTGTCATTGGCATTGGTCACCCCCTTGATTTGTGGGCATTGAGTTGAATGTGGTAGAAGCCCCAACTTTACTTTCAGAAGAGTACTCCCAGGAGAATATTTTGTTGCTCAGAATATACTGTTGAAGTTCCAAATTGCAGGAAAATAGAATGGAAGAGAGATAGCTTACTGTATAATCAGGCCAGCCTCTGCACACATTTCTGAAGTATGAGAACAAGAGGTCAATCAATCAGTAAGAATTCATTATTTCCTAGGCATGGGGAGTCTGTGGCCTCGAGGCCACATGTGACCTTCTAGACCCTTGGGAACAACCTTTTGACTGAGTCCAAGTTTTACAGAACAAATCTTTTTATTAAGGGGATTTGTTCTGTGAAGTTTGGTTTTAGTCAAAAGTCTGCACTTGAGGACCTAGAGGGCCGAATATGCCCTTGAGGCTAAAGACTCCCCACCCCTGGACAGTGCTAAGGTCTGGGAATACAAAAACAAAAGTGAAACAGTCCATTCTTTAAAGATTACATTTTTCCCCCCATAGGAGACAGCATATAGAAATATAATACAGAAAATTATACAAATTAAATACCAAGTAATGGGAGAAGCACTTGCAGCTGGGGAATCAAGAAAAGCTTCATGTAAAGATGGCACTTAGGCTGAGTTTTTAAGGAAACTAGAAATCCTAAGAAAAAAAGGTAAGCATTTTAGGGGACAGACAGTGCAAAGGCATAGAGATAGGAGAAAGAGTGTTAGGTATGAAGAATAGTAAGAAGGCCAGTTTGGTCAGACCATAGAGTATGCAAAGGGCAGCAGTGTAGGTTGTGAAGGTCTTTAAATGCCAAGTAGAGAAGTTATATTTGATCCTAGAAATAATAAGCAGCCACTGGAGCTTATTGAGTTAAGAGACTGATATGGTCAGACTTGTACTTTAGGAAATTCACTTTGGCAGCTATATGGAGAGTGGATTAGAGTGAGGAGAAATGTGAGGCACGGAGGTGAATTAGGAGGCCACTGTAATAGCCCAAACAAGAGGCGATGAGTGCCTGAGCTAGGGTGGTAGCTTTGTGAATAGAGAGAAGAGGATAAATGGTGTGAGATATCATGAAGGTAGGAACAAGATTTGGTAACTAATTGGATGTAAGGGATGAAGTCAAGGATGACACAGGTTGCAAACCTCACTGCCTTAAAAGATGGGTTTGCCATGACAGTGATGGGAAAATATGGAAGAAATATGGGATGAGAGGTAATGAGTTCTGTTTAGAACATGGGGATGCCTATGCAACATAACATTCAAAAACATCTAAGACTTTAGTTGCTCAGGAGAGCAACTAAAACTGGATATATAGATAAGGGAGTCATCTCCAAAAGAATGATAATGAAAGCCTTGGGAATTAATGCAGTTACCAAGATAAAGAGTGGAGACCAAAAAGAATGCCTTCTACCAAGCCGTAGGGTCCACCCACAGTGAGGGTATTGTTATATTGATGATCCAAGAAAGAAGACAGAGAAGGAGCTGGCAGGTAAGAGGACAACCAACAGAGAGCAGTGTTATAACAACCCAGAAAAGTGAAAATACCCTGAAAGAGAGAGAGGCCAAGAGTGTCATGTTGCAGAGAGGTCAAAAAGGATTAGGACTGAGAAAAAGCCATCACCTTTGGCAATTAAGAGATCACTGGTTTTGGAGGGAGAGTTGTGAAGAAGGTAGGGAGATAATGATAGACAAAAAAAAATTAAAAAGAAAAGAATAGACACATTTTAAAATTACAAAAAGAAGGAAATTCAGAAGGACACAGAGACAAGCAGGTCAGTGTTGGTAATACTGTTTTTTAAAGAATCATAGATTTTATTTAATTTTAAGTTTTATTCTTAACTCATATTGATTTTTCAGTATACTTCTCCCACCCACCTTGTCCATTGAGTCTTCCCTTGTAAAACTTTTAGAAAATTTAGCAAAATTGGTGAACAATCCAATCCAGTCAATATTTGTTAAGCACTTCTTATGTGCCAGACACTGTGCTAATTGCTTGGGATGCAGATAATAATAATAATAATAATAATAATAATAATAAGAAGAAGAAGAAGAAGAAGAAGAAGAAGAAGACAGCCGCTGCCCTCAAGAAGCTTACAATTTAAAGGGGGAGACACACAAAGCATTGGAATGGGGTTGGGGGTGGGGGTGCAGTGGTGCTCAGTGGAGTAAGCTGAGTCCAGTTTCAGCCCCCTATAAAGGAAGGCATTGGGAGGAATTTGGTACTCGGCCCTCTAATCACAGAAAAGAGGAGGCTGAGGGAGCTGGTAGCAGTCAAGGCTTAAGTTAGCAGTGTGGTGAGTTTAGATATGATAAACTTGAAGTTGAGTTGAAACCAAGCATGGCAGCAGATACAAAATGGAGTGAACACATTGACCATATCTGACCAGTACATGCAGCATTCCATATGTAGTCCCCTGCCTCTTTTTTTTAAATTAAATTTTTTTCAATCAACAAAAATCTATTTCTTCTCACTCCAAATTCTCCTGATTAAAAAATAAGGAAAATAAGCCCCTTGTGGTAAATTTAATAAATACTTTATTTTTAAATACCAAGGTATAGTAATGGAAGTTCACGATTTCGTATGTAATCCTTTTCTGTTCTTTATGTATAGAAAGGCAGAGAATTTGGGGGTGGGGAGAAGATCATTAATAACTTTGGATTGAGCAGTTTCACTCGAGTGGTGAAAAGCATGGATATCTCAGAGAGTAGGTCCAGTTTCACAATCTGGTTGTTCCTATTAAACACAATCTATATATGTCTTCAGACACTTTCCTTGGAAATTCCAGTTCTGGTTT